CAGCGAGTTCGGCGAGACCAAGTGGCGAGGAACTTGTTGGACCTTCTCTACTACCACCACGTGAAGATGGGGATCCTTTTATATTTGATGAAGATGAGCCGGGTGAGCAGGGTCGTATTTTCAGCAATGAAGATGAGCCGGGTGAGCAGGGTCACAAGAATGAGTATGTGTATGTCCCAGAGGATGGTCAGCGAGAGTTTATTGGCAGTACAATGGCACAGCGAGAGGGGTATAAGGACTATGAGGACAGCTTGTATGCACCCTCTGAGGTCGACGGTGAGGTCCACGATGAGGACGAGGGAGCCAAGGACCTGGAGGCAGCAAGAGTGATACAGGACTGTGAACCTCCAGAAATAGCTACACTACTCTTCGCTAAGCCACTTAAAGACAATGGCTCTACGTCCATAAAGGCAGCTATTCAGGATATTGTCCTTTACCTTGAAAGCCACGGGCTGCCAGTTTACAGACATCACGCCGACCGAGGCGAAGCCTTCAGTCACAGTATACGCAACTGGTTCAGAGATCAAGGAATACGGGCGACGTGGGCAGAAGCTGGAATACCACAGGGCAACGGACGAGCAGAATCAACTGTTCGTTGGATTAAGGATCGTGCCCGGTCGCTTCTCATGAGTGCAAAAATGCCAACCAGGCTCTGGCCGACAGCCATCGAGGCTGTTGCAGCCGCTCAACGGGCGGAAGTGTTGAATTGGAGGTCAAGGATGATCGCTCCCTATGGCTCTATCGTCTACATGAAACAAAAGGCGTTCGACTCCGCGGGGCCGAGGCGCCGAGAAAGAGCGTTTGAAACGCGCTGGCTCCGAGGATACTACATGGGATTAAGTTCGTTGCTAGACGGAGGCCATGTGGTATATACCCCAGCAGGCGAAGGCGAAAAGAGCGAGAAGGAGAAGTTTTTCCACACGTTCTACGCGAGGGCGGACCTACATGACCCGGGTCCACCAGGACCAGAGCATCGAGAACCTGGACCGCCAAAGCCAGAAAAACGGATCGTGCACAAGACACCAGTAGCCGAGGTAAAGATGCGAGCAGTGGACCTTTCCAAGGAGGAGTTGCGGGTCTATGTGGAACAGCAAACGCAGCGGCTACTTGAAGATTGGTGTCACGATCGAGCTATGTTGTTGATTGACGAGCTAGCAGAGGCTAGGTTCTTTGAGGACAAGATGTTTGGAGTTTGGAGACATGGAGGGGCGGTAGGTTGGTCAGTTGCCTTCAACGAGTACCCGGATATGGCAAGGGTGCTAGCCAGAGTGTTATTGGACGTGAACCCAGAGGCAACCTTCACCGCAATTTGCGTTACGAGGAACCTACAGCGAGGGCGCCACCGTGATAGCAATAATGATGACCATGTTAACAATCATCTTCTACCAGTTCGGCTTCCAAGGTCAGGAGGTGGGCTGTGGGTGGAGCTAAGTCCTGGAGACAAGGTTGTAGGTCCAATTCTGGACCGTGAGGACGACAAGGGGACCAAGCGATATGGACAGGTATTGTCGTTCTCTATGGGCAACATTACAACTTTTAGTCCCCGGAAACTTCATGAAGTTCTACCCTGGGAAGGTACACGTACAATGG